TTAATCTATTAAATATATTTATAAAAATCTGTTATATATATTTGTAACACTTCATAGTATTGATTCCATATCAAATGGCAAAATATTTTACCCTTTACAGCTAAATTATGCAGTATGTGGCAAAAATACACTAAGAATTGATATATAAATTTGATAAAATTTTGTCATTATTCTTTGATTCTATCAAAATTTAACACTAGCATTATCTGCATAATGGGCAGGCAACATTGCGGAAAAGGAAAATTCCGAATTGATAATAAGTCACAAAAAGTTTTGAAGTTTCATAATAAGAGTCAATTATTTTTAATTATAAAATAGCTTAAACTAAAAATTAAAATATAAATGAAATTTAAATAAATTTAAAATTTCTTAGAAATAATTAACAATTTATAAATTTTGATAGTTTTTCGGGTATTTAACGATATTTTAGAATTCTGAAGGACATTCTCGGGACATATAGTCACGTTTTTGGGACATAAATTTATTTAGCGAGAGGGCGCAATCTAAGGCGAGACAATAACAGATCCAATCAATACTGCTTTCCTACAATATATGATGAGTGCTACTCTATAAAAAAGTTGAGGGCGAGGGATGTAGAACCAGATTTAAATTGGCAAAAATCGAGTTGCCCAACTTGCAATGAAATTTTAATTTTGATAATATTATATGCAATTTTATTTAAAAATATATTGCAATTATTGCGGTAAATGTAATCTTTGCTCAGAAAAAATAACGAGAATAAATTAAAAGCCTATTTATTTTTTAAAAAAATTATTATAATATTAAAGTGTATCATATAGTTTTATTTAAGTAACAAATTTTCACAAATTTTTCATTTACGAATTATAATATAAAAATATTTATATAAAAAACTAATAATATATAAAAAATGAATTAAAAAATATGTATGTATAAAAGAGAAATGAGATAAAAAAATTAAAAAATGTTTAAAAAAGGGGGTACAAATCACCCTAGAGAAGAGTGAAGGTTTAAAAAATTGGAACGGCAGATTTCCAGGGAAATCTGCTGACGAAGGTAAAATTCTTCATTGGGGTCCCCTGAGATCTGCCTCATTTTTTTCCTATAGTTTTGATGAAATTGAGAGCATCACTTCCGAACATGCCTAGGGTATTGGTAACGATTGGGATAAACACGGTATTAGTGAGGCAAGCAGATTTATTTTTTAGGCGGCCTTTTCGATGGCAGAAAATGAGAGGTTGGACTTTGCGGCAAAATCGACACAGGTATAGTCCCAAGCTAGGGGAAGACCATTAGTCCAGGGAATGAGAGATATGCCATCGGGGCGTATGGCGTTTTCATTTGAGAGGCCCATTGGTTCGAGGGTGGATGGGATATTAACTTTTTTAGAGCAACTAGGAGGATGTTATTAATAGATTTATGGCGCGGTTGTCGTCCATGGGAGAACTTGCAGTGCAAGGGATGGTAAGCTTACGATTCGATGGGATGGCCACAGTCGATGCAAATGGAGGGCACCACGGCATTACAGCCAAGGCGAAGGGCTATAATTTATACAGATTTGCAAAAATATTGTATAAAATGAAATATTATCAAAATAGTTTATAATATGGCTCATAGTGATCTACATCGGGCCTAATTATCCAAACCTGGCCCGAAATTTTTTAAAAAAAAAATTTATTCGACCCAATTCCAAATTTTTAAACTTGTCCCAAAAATCCCGACCCTAAATAAAAATTATTTGTTCGCTCGGTCTGACCCAAATTTATTTAAAATATTCCGGGTTCTTATTTTTAAAACATATTTCTGTTTATCCTAGGCTCAACAAATTTTAAAAGAGGACACCCTATTTTGGTTTGTTTTAAGTTTGTACATTAAATAAAATAAATTTTATTTGTCATTTATATATTTTTTCGGTACAAATAAGATAAATTATCATTTCCAACTGCGTAAATTTAAATATCCTCCCTCTTTTTAGACTGTTTAGAGTAAGCTATATAGACGGCTCAGGCGCGTAACCAATGGGGGGAAAGGGGGAAATTCCCCCCCCATCGCAAATTTGACTATTTTCATAAATATCATTTTAAGCTAATAAAAATTTTGCCCCTACCCCCAGACCCCCCCCCACCCCACCAATCAAAATTTTAGAAATATTTGAATATCAATTTTCCAATATATTGTTCAAAAATATTAATAAAATGGAAAAATATTTAGTCAAAGAGATTGAAATCAAACGATAATTTATAAATAAGGTTGAGCATGAAAAAAAAGTAATGTGTCGTTAGCAGCGATATCATTATTGAATTCAATTGATCAATCAGAGTTTATCATTGCTGCTAGTTGCATCAATAAATTATTTTCCTATAGCTCACTACTTTGTAGAAATTTACAAAAACCAAATTTAGATTTGGTTCAGGTTATTGATTTGGCGGAAAATATACATGAACAGGTAGATACAATAAGAATGAATGTAGACATTGAATCGAAGGCTAAATTTTATGATATAATACTAATTAAACCTCGTCTAGCACCTAGGCCATTATTGAGATGAAAATAAATATTGGCTCAACTGAAGAATATTATAAAATATCCATTTTCATCCCATTCTTAGATACTTTTTTATCGCAAATAAAAGTACGGGTTTTAGATAAAAAACAAGTCTTTAGCTATCTTCAAGTTTTATTACCCAAAGATCCTTCTTCATTTTCTAATGCCACTATTGGTAAAATTAAATATTTAGAAAAATTTTATTCCTATGAGATTGATACTGAAATAAATTTAATCAGTGAATTCGAATTGTGGTATAAATATTTATACGTTTAGCTATTTTACCTGAGCATGCTATTGATGCGCTCAATCGGTGTAAAGAAACCTTGGCTCAATTTCCTAATATTTCGAAGTTGTTTTATATTCTTGCATGTTTGCCTATTACAACATGTACGAATGAAAGGACTTTTTCCAACTTGAGAGGGTTGAAAACATATTTACGAAGTACTGAATCTCGGCTAAATGGGTTAGCTCTGTTAAATATACACAGAGATTTGGTTCCAACGACAAACGAAATAATTAAAAATCTTGTATTTGATAAGAAGTTAAAAAAACTTGTTAATTTAATTATTTTCTAGTCAATATTTTAAACTACTATTAAAATTTTCAATAAAAAAATTATATTCTACTTATATTGTATGAGAATTTAAGCTGAGGCTAGTTTTTAAAGCAAATTTTATAAAAAAAATGACATTACACTTTATTTCAACTTTACATTTAAAAAAACTTTATTAAATATAATATACCTATCTTGAAATAATAAAAAAGAGGCTTGTAATATCCTATCCATAGGCACGAATTAGTAAATAATAGTTAAAAATAGAATATAATTAAATTATGAATAATTTAATAGAATAGCTAAATAAGACCCGGCCGAAGGCCGGAGGAAAGCTGGCCGAAGGCCAGGTAAAAGGGGTTTGGGGGCGAAGCCCCCAAAAATTTTTTCCCCCCCTATAAGAAAATCCTGGATACGCCTCTGAGACGGCTAAACAGTCGACTGTTTTGTTTATATATTGACTTTATGCTTTAATTCATTTAATATGTTCTAATAAAGAAAATATAATCTTTATGTGAAAAAATAAGCATAATTAAAAATAGCCCCGAGCGTAAGTTTATTTGTTACCGACCCTTTCTCAAAAAAATATTCCAGAAAAAAATAATAATTTAATTTTTAGAAAGTTATTAGATATATTTTTGAAATTACTAAAGTTTGATTTTTAGGGTTCGACAAGACCCCGGTCTCTCCTACTTTCATTTCTAGATATTTCAATTAGCTTTCATTCGATATCCATGTTCATTTTTATGTCATAAAAAATTCAAAATATTTCAAACCCCCCCCCCCCCCACGATACCAAGACCAGCCCACTTAGAGTGATAATTATTATTACAATCAAAAGATATTTTATTTAACTTTTATTTAATGCCCATATCGAATTTTTATTTTTTAACTCTCTCCCCTTCCCCAAACCAAATTAAAATTATTAAGACCAAATGTGTATACTTTTATTTCTGTCAAATGATATTTCAATTAATCTGCAAAAGTAAAATCGACCCGTACTTGACACAAACCCCACTAAAACCTTAGTCGAGCCTATTTTTGAAAATAAAATTGTTTCGGGCTAAGTCAGGCCTAATATTTTTTAAAAAAATGGAGCCGGGTAGGGCCTAAATTTGAAATAAAATTATAAATTTTAAAATTTTTACACGAACAAGGTGCTCATATTTTTATTTGTTTGAGGATGATAAAAAAACGCGATTATGTTCAGTGTAAAAATTTAAGACTATATTGAAAATAAATAAATTCTTATATTAAAATAAATTCGGGCGGGTTAAACGGACAAATAATTTTTATTTAAGCTGAGATTTTCGAGAAAAATAAAAAAATATTCTGTCAAAATCGGACATAGCCGGACAAATTTTTCAAAGGACTGTCGGACTTGAAATATTAGCCCCGATACAAATCACTAATTTCAATTAGCTTTTATTTTATACATATTAATATTTTAAGTTAATAAAAATTTCCTTAACCCCCCCTCCCTTCTAACAAGGCCTAGATTAGCTCATTAAGAGTGAAAGGTTGACATCTAATGTAATCATATCATATTTAAAAATATGAGCCTGACTCGGCCAGGCTCAAATTTCTTTAAAATATTAGGCCTGACCCAGCCCAAACAGAAAATATTTTTGTAACAATAGCGGGCCGGATATGGGCCGGGCCTCGAGCAGGGTACGAGTTGGGCTGTGATTTGCAAATCTCTAATATAAATAATATTTAAAAATACAAATTTAGGATACATCTTATTTGGTAAAAATTAAATCGAATATTATCGTACATCATATAAAATCGTCTTTTAAAAATGGCCTGCGAAAATATATACTTTGACAATGATAATCATCTCATAAGGTTTACAGATTTTTTTATATATACCTCAAAATTATAATTATTCATTCGTTAAACATTCTAAAAAAATATTAAGGAACTGGAACTGATCAAAGATTATATTACAATTCTATTGGGGAAGAACGACTTTTGGGCAAGAAGAGAATAAGAAACAATTTTGTAGGCCCTTTGGAAGGTTGCTATAATCAAATGGACTGTACAAGGAAATTGCACGAATTTATATCTACTGCTTTGAAAATGGAACAAAATGGCAAAAAGAGATAAGATAGAGGAAAATTTATTGTGTATAATTTAAATTTTTTTTCGACATTTAAATTTTTATATATACTATTACACAGGCTATAATCGTAATTATGTCATTTAATTATTTGCCATCATTTATTCATCTTTTCGAGTCATGATCAAAATCATTATCATGCTATTGTCTATAAAACAATTATATCATATAAATATTCTGATATTAACATCAAATAAAATAAATTATTTAACATTTTTGAAATATTAAATTCATTATGAATTTAAAAATGACATGTCACATCGTTATGATATTCTATACGTGATTGTGATGTGATTGGTTAATTGAAATATGGTGTATAATATGAATTTGGATAATAATTTAATTGTTGAAATATCTAGATACAAAATGCAGTACCTAAATCTTGATACATATATTCTTTGAGCCCTTTGTAGGTAATCGTCCTTTAGCTATCAATCCACATCCTTTGTCAAACATGTCTATCTACCGTTGAATCTATATCTGAAATTCTCTTGAATATCTGGAATCTAAAAAAATCTTAATTCTAAATTTTTATTCAAAAAAATTCTTCTTGTGGTACACGCCTGTTCTATAAAGAAAAATAAAATATCTATTTCTTTTCTTCTTTATGTGGTCCACGCCCATTGTTCAAAAGCAACTGGAATAAATATCTTTTTTATTCTTTTTCACCAACTGACTTATCTTCTCGCAAGTCTCGTTGTTTCTCAACACACCAAAATCATGATTCTCATAACTCTCGCAGACTTGTTAAAAAACAAATCAATTATGTCTATCATCAATTTCATTCTATCTGAAAATATGATTCTCAAATTATGTCTCATCAATTTCATTCTATCTGAAAATATAATTTTCATAATTGTGTATATCATCAATTTCATTCCATCAGAACTTATGATTCTCTTTCTAGCTCAACTTGTTTTAAAAAAAGTTACTTTTTATTTCACAATTATATATCAGTATATTTATACTAAAATTCTTCTTTTAAAAACATCTTGAATTCTACTTTTTTTTTAATCAAAAAAAAGTCTCTTTTTTTCCGAAGTATTTCATATCCATATCATTATTAAAATTATTTCTTCATTCTGCACGATATTTTCTTCTATCTAAAACCGATTAAAACAATTTAGAATAAATCTTATCATTTCTTTTTTAATATTCCTCTATCTTTTTACAATTATTATAATAACGTTGCCTAATTGCCTTAAAATCTTATTTGATTCAAAAAATAAAAATCCGATCTCTAATTGAGCTCAATTGCAGCATAAATTTTCTAATGACGAAAGCCGTTTCTTTTTATGAAGATTTTTAGTTAATCTACAACCTAATATTATACTACATTCACATATCAAATCCTCGAGGCTGTTATCTCTCGCAGCCCTTAAAATAAAAGTTAAAAACGTAAATCTTCAATAAGAATTTAATTACAACATCAACTATTTTCTAACAATAAATTTATATTCTTATCTTATTCGCCGAATTTTTAAATTATTATACCTTAGCAAACTATTAGTTTAATTTTAATCTTCGCAATTTATGTTTCTTTTTCTTTGTCATAGTTATTTCTAATGATCAATTTATAATAATTCTAAAATCTAAAATATCATAGTCTCTATTAGTTTCAAAATTCAAATGGTTTTAGTTTACCAGTAACTTCTAAATATAAAATTCCTAATTATCACCTTTAAATAACTAAACACAAACTTCTTTATATCTTATCTACTATGAATGCTACCTTTATAATTCTTTGTTTTTAATTTTAGATTTTCTATTCCTACTTAAACATAATCTTATCAAAATAATTTTTCTTTTTCAACCTACATCTTTAAAAATAAATCTAAATCTCTTTTTTATCCAATTTTTATTTTAAAATATAAATTTTCTTCTTTTTAGAATACTTCTTTAAATATTTTTCCTACTTTTATTTACATATTTTTCTTACGTTCTTCTGGAATTTTTTTTTGAATTAGAATACAGTTTGACACGTCTCCTTATCCCACCGTATATATTAATTTGCATTAGACTGAAAAGTTGCAATTGCCCTGGCACCTCCACTCTCCAACATCATTGTCACAATTGGGGGTTTTTGGATTGTGAACTTAAGAACCTAAATATAAAATAAAAATATATACTAAAATATGATTCGAAACCTTTATTAAATAAATAACTATAATCAAATACAAAGTGAAAAACATAATCAAAATAATAGAAAAATAAAATTAATATAAAAATAAAAGTAAAAATTAAAAATTATATGTAAAAGTAAATAAAAAAAAGTCTTCCAAGCGAAAAAATAAAAAGTTTATCATCCTACTTGTTAAAACTCTTAAAGTATAAAAAAATCTACAATTATCACACGTTTTTTTCTCATTTACATAGATGGGGATCTAAATAATAACTTAATAATTTTAATAAAACATTATTTTTGTTTACAATTTGAATAATGCATTTTTTTGTAACGCAAAAATGCAACAGTTATATTAATGACTAAATAAAATAATTACTTAAAAGAAAAACTATAAAAATCTAAATTTATATATAGATGAGGAGGAGTGCTAAAGAAAATTAACCCGCCATCTCGTAGTTTTCACTAATATCACAAGTTTACCTTTCCTATATAAAATTCAAATAATGGTTGAGATATAATTTTAATATATTCAGATACCTGAAAAATATTTTATTATTTGAGAATATAGTATTCAATCAAAAAATGTAGATAAGAATTTATTTGATCAAATAAAATGAGGGTTGAGGAATAAGATAATGAATTATATAATTGGTATTCATGACTCAATTTGAAAGTCTAAGGTAAAAAATAGAAAATAACTAATTTGAAATATTCGTCTCTAGTCTACTCAAGTTTACGACTCAAGTTCATAGTTCGTCTTCTAGTCGACTCAATTATATAATTCTTATTCACGACTCTAGTTATAAGTCTAAAGTAAAAAAATGTAAAAAACAGAATAAATTATTTAATAAAAATAAATCTGAAATATTCGTCCTCTAGTCGACTAAAGTAAATAATATTTATTCACGAGCTCAAGTTAAAAGTCTATAGTAAAAAAATGTAAAAAAAAAACAAATATATTAACTATAATAACTAATTTGAAATATTCGTCCTCTAGTCGACTCAATTTCATAAAACTATTCGTCCTTTAGTCGAATCGTTCATAGAAATATTCGTCCTCTAGTCGACTAGAGGACGAATATATTATAAACTTGAGTTGAACTAGAGGACGAATATTTTATGAACTTGAGTTCACGACTTGAGTCGACTTGAATTAGTCGACTAATTCGACTAACGACTCAAGACTCTGAGTCGGATTCGGATGAACTCGACTTTTTAACAACACTAAGCCTCACTAATATTTAATAAATTATTTCGAAATGAATAAAGATAAAATAGTTAATAAATTAAAAAGTAATCATTAATTGAAATTTTGTAATTTATCATGAATATTTTTTGACTATTGATTTGATAAATAAATTCAAATCAACACTTATTTATCCTTCATTATACAAGAAATTTATATACTTATTTTTTATTATTTATATAAATTTTCAAACTAATTAGCAAAATATTATTTTTAGTTTTTTTTTAAATAGTGGAGATGTGTGAGAAAGGGGATTTTTTTTTCAAAAACCATTTCAGGCGGACTGATAATGTTTTTTCAAAACCATGGGTGGCAGACAAAAAATTAAAAGCAATGCACGGTTTTGGGAGGGGGTAATTACTAGTGGATTAAAAGCCACCCATAGACACCTCAAAACTAGATATAAATATATAATTAATAATTAAAAATCATAATTAGATAAAAATAGAAATTATATTACATAAGTCTATTTTAACAAATGAAAATTAGAAACATTATTTTACTTTCTCTAAATTTCGTGAATTTTTCTTAGTGATAATATCTTTTCCATTTGTTTTTAATGATAAGGTAATATAATCACCTAGAAATAAAAACACATAAGGTGAGAGTAAAGAACTGCAAAATCAATTTATCCTTATACTTGTCCTGACTGAGTTATTGATTTCAGCCTCTATATCGGGGGGGGGGGGGGGTAGGAAGCGTTAGCATCCAATTTATTGAGGGGTTAGAAGGTAGGCGCCTTTAAGGGAGTCAGGAGAAATTTATTGGAGGATCTTTTAAATTTTTAGATGAAATAGGGCAAAATATATTGCTATAAAAATTATAACTTTTATTATAGACCTATTATAATACAATGATATTGCTAATCATTGACCAATTCTATATATTGCATACAATCATAGACATAATTTTCCAAATAAAACTTTCAATTTAAAAGAATTAGACTTTCTCAGCAAATTCATATTCATGCTAAACAGTATACTATAATGCATCCATTATTCATTGTATACTATAATAATGCATTCATTATTCATTGTAAATGAGGGGGTTTTTAATTGATTTCATATTCTATAAAAATAACTATTTTATATTTACAATATTTTGATAGTTTGAGAGCTAAAATAATTTTAGTTATTCTTTTTAAAATTTATGAATAGAGTACCATCATAACTAAAAAAGTGTAATTAATAATGTAAAAATATCGTCGCCGAAGGTTACTGTAATTATTTTTAGATATGTAGACATAGGTATTTAAGGGGGGGGGGGGTTTGTATCCAATAAAAATTCTGTCATGTAGACGTTGGGTCATATTCCTCTCACTATACTTTATAACCTTGCTAGACACAAGAGCCATATTATACGAAATTATAACAGCATCGTAATCGTATTAATATTAAAATGAAAAATGTATAGAATTTAAAAGAATAAAAAAGGTTTGACACTATTTTTGTTGCTTGCCTTCAAACATATAAAAGTAGTAGAATAAAGGCGAAAGATAGATATTGTTTAAAACGTCCTGTTACATTCTAGCTGTACCCGAAATTACTCATATTACTATAAGTATATGATTTCTTTAAAATGTAATAATTTGTGTTTTATAGAATAATTTTCTGCATCTTATAGATAGCGCCTAGAGTATTAAAGGAAGGTGGCGTGGTTGGTTTTATTCTATAGTCGTAATGATGAGGGAAACTCTCCTTTATACAACCTAAATCCCCAAAATAAACATTTTATCGCAAAAGATCAAAATACATACCTTAGAATCCCAGT